TGTGGAAACAGAAGCCCTACCTCCTACCAAGTAAAATTCAAGTCTTTTATTTTGCAAAGTACACCGGCGATAGGTGTGCATCCTGCACAGTAATAAATAATTTGGATTAGTAACTACAGTCCAACTCGCATATAGAGGTTTTATACTTATTTAGGTTTGGTTGTATATTTAGCGTACTAAATAAGTCGAAGGGTCCTTAAGAAGTGAGAGTATGACTTCCTCCCGGCAACGCATTTTCCCTCTGGTAGTATGTCATTGGGCATTGGATATACATTTGTCTACCATATGCTCGTTTGTCACCTTCTTACCAACTTTAACAGTGCATAAGAAGGGTTGACAGGATTAGACTTTAAAATGTTACCACTGAACTTAAAAAATACTTTTTTTATACAATAAGGTGGCAAACGAGCAAGCGGCCACCTGAATCCGCCAAAATGGCGAAGCGACCGCTGCCCATAGACATCCGCAATTGCAGATACGTTGCCTACCCTTATCCGACGGAGGAGGAGACGCACATAAAGATTCCCCCCTCCTATGCATTTCCTCCATCGTCAAATCCACTTCCCTTCCCATCCTCTTATAAGAAAAGAGTGATAAAGAGAAAGGGACTTAAATTAGGCCTAAATAGTTTCTGTGTGTTATGTATATCAAAGCGTGATACCAGTAAACTAATAAACTACTCGAATTACTAATGATTCAGTAATTCCAGTTAATCCTATATCAAGTAATTATCTATGGTATTACAAGGTATCATTTCTGATACGAAGTTAATCATTTTTGATTTCCGATTGATAATTATGATAACTTTGCGTAACTTTCAAAGGGCTACTACTGTGGATAAGATTCCAAACTCTTATAATTATTTCACTTAGGTGGCTCAGTAGTTAAAGCACTTGACTTGTAATCTAATCTTGGGTTCGAATCTCGCTGTACCAATGTGATTTGCGATTTATCGTATTTCATATGTACATAAAATTATGTATGTGTTTTCCTTCACCGTACGAACGTCGGGTATTTACCCGGTGAAGGAAAACATCTTGATCCAACCTGCACACGTCAGCGAAGAAATACAAAGATATGTGTGAAGTCAACCCGCAGTGGGCTAGCGTAGTTGACTATGGCCTAGTCACCCTAACTTATAGACTCCGAGCCTCTCTGTGTGGACGTATAGTGAGCTGGTGATAATGATGAGTTACGAGTGTGTTAATACAAAATGAAAAGTAAGTAATTCAGAAACAAACCGTTTGGTAATCAGATGATTTTATAAAAATCCTATACAGTTTGGAAATTGGATTTTCTATTTAGTTTATTTCACTTATTGATATTGACGTTGACATATTTCATTAAATAATTCTTAAAATTAAGTACAGATAATAAATACAGACTTCAAGGTTCAAGGGGGATTCGAGTTAGAATTTTCAGATCATTTTCGCTATTATCCACACCGTATGTACACTAGATTGAAATAGAGTTTGTGTTGGAGTTTTTATATGTTTGTATACTGGCAGGCAACACTGTACACACAGAGGATGGTTTTTTAATATTAGAATAATATATTTTAAATTATAAAGAATTGTATATTTGATGTTCTATACATTGACTTCATATCACAGAGTTCTTTGTAACATACTGAAACATAGTAGGACTTATAGAAAAGATTTTGTATAAAATATGGTTTTGATATTATAAATATAATGATGATTAACTAGATGAAGAAAGTGTTTCCATAGCCCCACACCTCCAGAGCTCCGGACGGAGAAAAGTAACCGTCCAACAGTTTGGAAGCTTAGATACAGGTCGCATCGGTTTAGTTCAAACGTTGTTACATTTTGTATAAAGGAAGATAATCTCCTTTATATCAGTGCAATAAGGATGTCCTCTTCATTGAACGATAACCTCATTCGAATGAATCAATTGAACGATATCAATTGATTAAACTGAATATTATAAGTGATATTGTATCATTTTAATAATAAAGTTCCTATGTTAAATGACGAAGTATTTGTAGCAAATAGATGTAGTTCTTTCTTGCTAATATTAAACTAGCTGTTCCCGTGCGGCTTCATCCGCGTGGAATTCAGGACATCTTAGGCAACAAAGAAGTGTGTGTTTACGCTTAATTATAATAAGTATAGATTATTCTTGTAAAACTTCGTTTAATTTAGTTTTAGTTAAGTTAATACCTAAGACATTTTTCAATTTTTATAACAACTCTTTTTACGAACTCTTTTGACGGGAACAGCTAGTTTTGTATAAACCTAAGTTTTTCCTTGTACATATGCAACCAATTTAAATTCAAATATATTTCTTGGTCACACACTGGTGACTACGATTATAGCAATACGACTAACTTTAATAATTGTTATAAGTACGTACTAAAATATTGCGAAAAGAAACTTGATTCAACCAACACATTCTTTATTCTTTGTTACATACATACGATCATATTCTAAATGAACGAATTGGGTTCAGTCGGAACACGCCGTCTTGTATAGATTTAGTTTGATAAATCTTAGGGGCTCCCTTAGTGCTATAGTAAATATTCAAATAATTATTATCGATATCCATATGATAATGCCGTTGTTTCGTATCGTATTTAGCACAAAGTTCAGTCCAAGTCTAATCAGATTAACTATGCTATGATTAACGCTCCTCTCATAATCGGTGTCAACGGGCCACCTTCACTTTTACGAACAAGTGACATCAGCGTAGGTGGTACTTATGACGTCATAAGTATATGTAACTATCCTAATATTGTAAATGCGAAAGTTTGGATGGATGTTTGTTACTGGGTATCCAAATCCTGACAACGTATCATGGTGTTTTTCAAAGGTAATGTAGTTGTAGTTTTTTTAATTCTGCCCAATTTTGGTTATAAAATAATAATATAACACGTTAACTTGCGTATTGCAGTGAGTTTTCACTGCTTAAATATTTGTATAAAAATGATTCGAATTATTTCTGTATTTTCATTGTAAAACAAATATATTCAAAATTAGAATTTAATAGGCACTCGGCATAAAATAAGACAAGTTTTATATAAAAATGTTATTTGTAAAATAATAAATTATAAATGTAATAAATGTTTGATTTTCTAAAGCATTCAAAGTTGCCTAGTAATACATCCAGTCATTTTTTACTATCCGTACAAAAACTATTCGATCGGAGGTAATTTTACGGTAACCGATTTTAAATTGATAAGCAAGGTTACTTTTGTTAGATAACGAGATTTTGCGCAGTTAAATATTATGCATTCAAATAAAATTGTAAACAGTAGTTGTTTTTAATTCCGCGCGGACGAAGTCACGGACAAAAGCTAGTTTCTAATAAGGAAACTGGGTGGCATGTTTTTTGTAGATCGTTTGTAGTGTCAGCTGTCATTTAGCTGATTACTTAGTTTATTTTTTTAAACTACCTTATTTCAAACATTAAGGAATTATTAAATTGCATTTATAAATCATTGTTAAATATTACTAAATCAACGTAAAATATATATTAAATAAATCTTGAACATAAATACAGCACAGATTGTAACAAAACATGTTCATATTTTCGATACAAGGTCTTGTTTACCGCATAAATACAACACAATTGGCATCGTTCAACTGGTTATTAGTAAATAACTCATTAATATAACTATTATTAGCACATTAGAAACTCACCACAAAGTAGGACAAAGAAATCCAATGCTATCTTCCATATCAGTCTATCAACAGCCATAATTACAATAAACACAAATCACTTTTTATATTTACACACAAAATAATAAAACATTTATAAAATTGTCAACCGGTTTTATAAATAAACTAAACAAAAGACAGACAAGTCATTATTTAGGAAATATTTTAAATAATACGCGACAGTCTCACAAAACGTCGAAAAATAAATGATAAAGTCCTCTGATAAACTGAATAATCTGTGGTTCGAAGTTAGTCACACCTGCGTGTCGTCATAATGAGCAAATGTGCAGAGATTGACGCTAATTTCAATGATTCTAATGCTCTTATTAGCTTACTTTACAAGTAACATATTCTAAGTTCGTAACTTGATAACAAAAGCGACGGTGACAAAAATCGAGACAGGGGCGTTGAACGCTCAGTTGAGTCATTGCAAAAGTAAATATTGCATATTTACGCAACGTGTCTTGCTACTTTTGCAAAATTATATTTTGTTAGACTGCCATCTATTGGTAAAAGTAAGAAACGTTTTCAATTAAACTCAAATCCTTCACTACCCGATAAAAGATGGCGCTATAGTATAGATTTCATGACTGTTCAAAGTTTTATTTTTTATTGATAGATATCACCTATACGAAATCTATAATTAATAACTTTAAATGATAAATATATACATATGGCAATTATTGTTATAGGATAAATAAAAAGCAAGTAATTTCGAACAATTATTTATTATGCATTTAAAATTTTCTAACTATGACATAAAATATTAAAAATAAATAAACTGCCAAAATGAATATACAGGCAGTGCGAGTCATATAGACTTTTCTAGACTATGAATCTAAATATATTCTCTTAACAACTAACTGTGCTATCTACATAAATTATTTTGTGTATGTACATAAATAATTTGACAATGTAAAAGCAGATAATTCATATTTATAAATCTTTTTACTCCAATTTTAGTTTTAAAATCTTTGTGACGCGACAATAGCGCCACAGTTAACAATTAAAATATTCGATAGAAATCATTTTTTATTTATAGAAATGTGATGTCTAAATATCTTTAATTATATGTATAAATATATCTTATTTATTTGCAAGAAAAAATATAAACATGTGCATTTATACTACTAAATTTTAAAAATATACTTGCTATATTTTATTACACCGTTAATAATCTTCAAATACTTATACAATGGAGCAATTGTTGTAAAAAAAAAAACAAATTTTATTAGAAATTCATAACCAAAAAGCATGAACCGTTTTTGTACGTGGTTTTTAAAAACACTAAATTTTGGATGACGTTTAGAAAACAGCAAACATTTTAATATTGTAAAATCCATAAACAAGGTGTAACTTATAACTTAACTTAATTTTACATTTTTAATATAAATAATTTAGAACAAATTTACATTTTAGTTAATAATTAAACTACAAAGTTGTCGATTTGATTGCGTTATATTTTTAACTTCTATTCTAATAAGCTATATAATGTTTAAAGTTATTTTGAAATATATTCGTAGAATATAACGCAACAAAATCGATTAAAAATAGATTACATAGAATAGTTCATTATAACAGCACCTACGTACAATAAAATGCAAGCAAAGGGTATCACTAACATTCGTTAAAAAGTTTATGTAACGACATCAACAAAGTATTAGATCTGTGCAGCGCCCCTAACGGAATTAAATAGCACCAAAAAATCTCATACAAAGTCGATGACGTAACTTCTTTCTCGCAACTGTTACGCAAATTCGTGATATACCCCCAAAGCTTAACGATACTAAAACCTTATACTATACGAAATATTTCTTTATAAATAACAACTTTATATCACAGAATTAAAATACACCGCCTTTCAGTCTTCAAGACTTTAAAGGAGACGAAAAATATTAACTTTGACAAGTTGTCACAACGGATTTGACGATTTGACAGTGACATTTTGTCTATAAATAATTTTCTACTTTACATAGAAAAATGATCAAAGGTTGCGCCTGCGTTTGACAAGTTTTGACTTATTGCCATCCTTCTCATTTTCTTTGAAAGAAACAAAGACGGCAATATGTTCAAAGTGTCACGGCAATCGAATTCAATATATTTTTTTAATTGGATGAATGTGATGTGATGTGTAGGAAACAAACCTGCGGATGGATAATATCACTGATCTTTATAAATGGAAAGGTCAATGGCTTAAAATTATTATCCACTTCTTTACGATTTAAATTAGTTGGAATCATTACCATTGCTACCAATCAGCCATCAGTGGTAAAATGGCTAAAATTGAAAACGCACAAAATACCACGTTTTATAGCCTATCCATTTTTAGAGGTCAGTGAAAGCAGGGTTTAACTATTTACTAGAACTATAGACTAACATAAAATGCGAGGATATATCCCTTCGAGTAGAAAGCTGTATTTAATATTACGTATTTGATCTATTTCTATTATTATGTTGATTATGGAGTAAAATATATTTAAATGCGATTACTGAAGGGTACTTAAGGAGGGATGAATCGCATGTTACAAGGAGAACGTTAGTAATAAGTGTGGAAGGATATATCAGTAGAGGTAGACGTAGAAAGAGATGGATGGATTGTGTGAAAGGTGACATGATCTTGATGACGTATGATAGAGTTATGTGGAGGACAGAAATCTATCGCGCCGACTCTACGGGAGTAGGATAGGGAGGAAGATGATGCTGAAGAGTACTTAAAAGGGTAATTATTAAAGTTACAGAGTTACAAATATAAATAAAAATTAATAAATATTTGTTGAAATGTTTTATATAAGCTATATAATGTATTTGTAAAATTAAAACTAATTGAAGCTAATAATTATTATTAATAAAATAAAAATATAAGTCTTGTAATAAAAGTGCAAAGTTATTTAAATATTAACTATTACATTTAATGCATTGACGGTGTATTTAATAATGTACGATTTAAGCGTGGGTTTCCACTGCTGGAATGCGTCTTTTGTACAGACTTTTCGTCAGTGGAAATTCACGCTTATTTATGTTATCGGCCTTACATTTAAATAAATAAATTATACATTGCACGTTTTTATGTGAGAAATCATTTACATAAGTAAATTATTTACATTATTAAATGTCTATTTAGAAAAGAATAAGTAGATATAGATTTTTGTACAATTTAAGTTTCATGTGATTTTTCTACCACTAGATGGCAGTGTTATTAAAAATATTATTTTTAATTAAAATACTTGTTAGATATTAAAATTAGAAACATTTATTCTAGCTGCTATATAGTGCATCTAAATAAACAAATATATTCTGTGACATTTTTTTTCACAACCATTCATTCAACAATTATTGACATAGTGAGCTGCGTTGGCTGATTAATTGTGTTTTCACTGCAGAAACATTTGTCACAAAACATTATCCTTACAAGTAATAAACTTTTAATTCAATTTCAATAAATTTTGGCGTCAAAATGTCTTTAAGCCCTAAAAGGTATAGTATCCATATTTATCTACCAACTAACTTTTGTATATATTTGCAGAATATATGGAATAGGCTCACACTCACTAAGAGAAAACACTAGAGGACATCGAATGTGGGATCACCTAAACGAAGATACACCGGAAGACCAAAGTAACAAGAGCCGCGCACTCACACACACAAAGGTCCGACTTATCTGTCCTGTATTTCGACGTACTCGTGCGATATCCACGAGACGTTGGGCGGGTGTCAGGGCTCATCTTCCACTGGCTGCTCCTCGTCCGCCAGTCAGACGGGCCAGCCGGCTGCGCGCGCGTTGCCGTTGCCGTGCAATTCGTTGCTGTGCACGTTCGTTTGACGCCTCGATGTCTTACGTAGATCGGATATGAACGCGTACTGTGGACGGAAATGAACTTTATTGTGTGTGCTGTAGAGTTTAATTTTGCTTCAGTAGACTTTGATGTTAGCTCAAAGGGTATAGACATAGTATTCGTTTAGAACCGTAAGATGGCAGTTCTATAAATTCAAATATAAAAAACTTCTTGTAGCCTTATCAAAATATTATTACTTAATTTATCATATTAATAGAATAGAATATATTAAAGAAGTACTGTGTTAAATTAAAATTCGCTGAATTAATAAAAAAATCTATTTTACGGAACAAATGTAACAAGAACCTATAATCAATATAATACGATTGGCCGAGTACTTTCTCGTACCAAATATGGTCGACATGGGTTATCAAGCAAACTGCAGAAATTCAGTTACTCCTATAATTTATGCGTGGCTACTGACCGAATATGGCTGCGGCTGGTTATCGATAAACTGATTACTTAAATTATAACGTTCTACATGAGGAATAACAAACAAGGAAAAAATTACGACCTGGTATATTTCATACCAGGTATATTTCATTTTCTTCATCTTTCATTTCCTGTATATTTCACTACCAAGAAGTAAAGTTATAATTTCTGATAAAAAAAATGGTAAGTCGTTGATACGATATTAAACATGATGGAACATAGCTTATTAAAAATAAATTTTTCTTAATTTAAAATACCAGGAGAGCATAAATGACACACGCAAACCCAGATAGAAGCTGGCGCCTACAGAATCTTTTCCGTTGAACTATATCATGAAGTACCAGGCGATCATAAGCTATAAAAGCTGACACAGAACTCACCACAACGACAGCATAGATAAGACCAATACTGAAGCCGGCGAGCACATCGCTCCAGTGATGCTTGTAGTCGGACACGCGCGTCATCACAGTGTACCAGGCCATCATGAGTAGCAGGAACTGAACGCTGTGTCGTAGCAGCTTAGAGCCACGCCACGTAAAGCGCTTTTGCAGGTATATCTGAAATGTAATTGATGTGACGTATTGATAACATAGATTGCATGCATATAATCAGAAATAGTATAGACGATTTCTAATCTCCTGGTAGAGCCCTACTAGTTCGGATCTATACAATTTGAACATAAGATTGGACTTGAAATGGTCTCCGTACATTTTAATAGGCTTCGATTATAAACGTCAAATAAAACATCGTATGAATAATCGATACTAAGTTTAATGATAGTCCATCGTCGGCGCTGTCAACACAAAACATCGAGTGGACATTAGCATAATGGATGTCCAATCTGCATATGCATGGCTGCATAACTTACGGCTCCGGTCGCTTTTATCACAATCTGGATAACAAGAGATAGCTAGTACATTGACAATAAATCAAGCGAGTACAGGATACGAATGAAATACCATGTTTCATTAAGAAGATATGCCTTTTACAGAAGTTGGACACTCTTCATTACGTATTGAAGTTTTTAGAGGCAGTAGGATTGGAAGACATTTGCATACAGATAGGTACAAGTTGAATTTGAACGTTACGATCTCCAAGTGTTTTGGTTTTGATCGTTGGATAGATGGAATGATGAATGTTTGTTGGAGTTTGTAGTCTTACGGCTGGACAGATCTGAATGAAATTTGGTATAGATGTAGAACATAGTCTGGAAGAACACATAGGCTACTTTTGTTGTTTCTTTAGTTCCACGTGGACGGGGTCGCGGGCGAAGACTAGTAAAATTAATAAGTACGAAGGAAAAGAATGGTAATGAAAGACACAGATAGTCTCATTACTGACTTGTAACAAAGTAAACTTACCGCGAAATAAATCATGGTATACGCAGAGAAAGAAGAATGTCCACTTGGGAAGGAGAGTCGCATCTCCTTCAGCAGCTTAGAGTCCCTTTCCTGACACGTGAAGGTCTCTATGTATCGCCATTTGTTCTCTGGCAGTGTACAGTCGATGTCAGGATTGCAGACCTGGGAGAAAAGAGAAAATATAATAATATATCTAGTCAAAGTAACGCATATTTATAAATAGTTTAAAGAGAACAATTGTGCTATTAAATGATAAACAGTCTAACATGTCTATTGGCATTTACATTTTATCTTTGAGTTTGTTTATGCTGTAAACATAATGTATAGAACTGATTTGAGTTTTATTTTATGCTCAACAAAGATATTTGTGAGACCTATTTTGTTACGATATCAAAACATAAATTCTAATAAAATACAATTGAAGAGACATCTCCCAAGTTTCATTAAATATCCGGGCATTAGAACACGTCGCTTCACACCTCGTCTTCAAGTCCATTATGCAAATGCGTTAGATAAACGCAAATAACTCGCGGTACTTCGTGCAACCGTGAGACTGATGGATCGCCTCAAGCGAAATAATTATCCATTACAATTTGCTCCGGACCGGACGAGCAATAAATTGAGAGCCAATTAATATTTTCTTACTAAAAACAGTCGTTATCGAATGACTTGTTTACAGTTTTTAAACGATTTTCGGTGGAATTTATAAATTGCTTTACTAAAGTGGTTCAATTTTCATTTTTTTTATATCTCAGAGTAGTTAAAACCGATATTCTGGTATTCAAGGTTGTGGGAGTCCGGACATAGTACACAGAGTCTCCTATTGTCACATGAATTTTGTCATATGAAAGTTATATTAAAAAAGAAAATTAACCAACCTTGGCTATCTTCATCTAAATAGAAAACTCTTCTAGCAAGTTATGTTAACCATTGCAGTAAAGTTTAATCTGATCTCGCCGTAAGCTTATTAATAGTTAGTTTGTTTGCTTTTCGCTCGACTATGTTATTATGCTGCGATAACTTGGCATGCTTTTTTGCTTCAGCACGTCAATCATCCAATCAAGCGGTGGCGTTGCCTGACTTGCGAAAACAAGTTATACGTAGCTTGAAGGGTGACAAGGATTATAGGACTTAATAAAGGAGAAGAATTTTTTCTTAACACTAAAAGCCGTTAAAAAGAGACTTGTTGAGAATTTCCTTTGCAATTGACTTATCTAAGTATTTACCATTATTTAAAAAAACAGCATTTTCTTTTCTATTTTGTATTTCACTATGGCATAATATGTTCACTGGCGTCAATTAAATTTTTAAGCATCGAAAATTCCAATTGATCCTCGCTATTTATCAAAATATGGTCACCCGAGCTATAGTCGATAATTGTACATTATACAAGGCCTCCGTGCAAAATTGGCTGCCCTAACGACCTGTTGCATTTATAAAATGGTAAAATATTTATTTTTCGCGTTTTGCATACTAAAGGTACTCAGTAATTTAGTGATTATAAGACTCGGAAACTTGTTCGCTGAAAGGTTAAGGTAATTAAGAATAACGAGAGAAAATATATAATTATATCCTGACATATAAAACGTACAAAAGTGTATTCACGCACTATTTTACCCTATCTTCATTAAAATAGTAGCAAAATTAGAGTAAACATATCAATCTTTTTTCGTAGTACATTCTTAATGGAATATAAATAAAATAGTATAACATTTTAACTTCTATCTTACTAATAAAAATATTATAAATGTGAAAGTTTAGATGGATGGATGTTTGTTAGAGCTTGTAGCCTGAACGGCTGAACGGATTTCGATGAATTTTTGCATAGATGTAGTAGATAGTCTGGAAAAACATATAGGCTATTCACTTTTATTTTTTTTCAATTCCACACAGACGGAGTCGCAGACAAAAGCTAGTAAATATTTGAACCATTCTTCAATAGTGCAATAAAGTTTGTATATAAATAGTTTTATTCAGTTTTAATGTGAAAGTTAACATAATAGACAATCACAATAATACATTTAAAAACAACATATTTGCAGGAATGCCTTTTAGTCGGCAATCGGAATAATCGTTATTAAACGCCATAGCATTGGAATAACATCTTTACGTCGCCGTACCTTGTCTCATTAATGCAACATTTTATAGTCGCTAAGAACCTCGGTTTACTTAACTTGATAACTTAAGATAAATTCATATTTGTAGCAATTTCCGAGCTCGACAGTAATATTTAGCTGAATAAGGGCCTATCCCACCAAATTGTAATTTGTCTGATAACAATCAAACATTTAAAATATGTGATGGGAATATCGGATTTTTTCCCTTATCTGACTGTGACGTCATTTTTAGCTATCTAAGCCTCATCAGATATTGGGACAGGTCCTTAATCTTTCAATGTAATATCTCCTTTGTCTGTTAAATTTCCGTTGTCAATAAATACACAATTTCAATAAAAAAAGCTCTAATGTTCTTACAAATAGGGTTGGCACTAGACATGTTAATTTGATCAGATATATTACCGTTAACGAAACTTTCAAATTTTATTTTTCGGTTTGGGCTCAAGTTTTAAACCCGATTTTTGTAATAACTCAGGTTACCTCTAATCGGGAGCTTAATTTAGGCGTAAGTAACGTCGAAACATAATAATAAATACGTCCTAAAGGCTTAAAACATGGATATTTAAAGACGTTAAAAGATAATTTGGACGAAATATATTTTAGAGCCCAAGATTTATTACTTTATTATAACTAACGACAGACTCAAATCAGTACGTTGTAATTTTTAAATAATTATTATGTAGTATACGAAAAGGTTTCAACTCCTGTAAAAATCATATACAGTCATAAATTAAATGGACTTTATTACACTAAAAATAAGTCTCAAAATCGTTAAAATATTACCAAAAGTAGAACAGCGAAGTCGCTCAAACATTCGACAGGGCGTCCGATCACCCACATAGATAGCGTTAATATGAAAAAAGTGCGGTTTAAAATTCAAGTGGGCGCGTGGAGTTTATTGGCCATCGCTC